TGAGAAGCTGGTGGATACTTGCAGCAGCTGAATTTAAAAGCGACTTCAAAACAGTTCCCTTTGAGGTAGTTGAAATCCTGCATTCCCCCTGCGACACCAAACCAAAGATCAATAGAGTTTCACTTAGTTAAAATACCTTACTTATGTCCAACAGTTTGTGATACCGTCTCTGAAGCTTTTGTTAGGATCACCAGGGCAGTCAGGATTGTCCATATTCATAATGGGATGCTTCTCAATGTAGGTTTGTGCTATATGGCGAAATAGGTCTTCATCGGCGATCAGCCCTGGGCTTGCAGAAGAACTGTCGTCATCAAAAGGGAAGCTGGCCCCCACCGAGCCCACACGTAGACTACCAGACAAGACGAACCTTGAAAAGGCGACAAAGTCAACAATCTCAAACCATTAAACAAAATATACATTTTTGTGATATCAACTTCAAATTTGGAACACAACTTGGTTACATATATGGCTTTGATTTTATAGTAAAAAATATGTTTTATATAAAAGAAAAAATATTAAGTACAGTATATTTGATTTAGTTTAAATTTCAAAACTTCCATAACTTGTTCATACTTTCATTTTTTTAAGTGCTTTTACTTCAGCATTAATCTGCTGAGTGTTTTCTTTAAAACAAGACCAAACTAAAAAAATGTAGGTCTATATTCTAAAGCATTCTTGAATTACAACCAAGTTTTAATAGTGCATTGTAAAGTTCATTCTCAAAAAGGTGATGGTTATGTGCCAAATCAACCATTTGGTTGAGCATGTTTTTAAAAAAAATAAAAATAAATAAATAAAAACATACTTACGTTTTTCATGGCACCAAACAAAAAAAATTGTAAAGTTTGGGCTCTTACAGTGCAGCTAATATATCAAAAAATATGCTTACCTTACAAAATTTCAAGTGCTGTTGTGTTGTTGATTGACACTGTGACATCTAGTGTATTTTTATGGCGTAACATAACTCAAACAGATGGCTCAATAATTTCTTAATAAAATATAGGCTATTGACTGTGCTCAAACATTTGGTCGAACAGGCTCGTTTTTTTTTTTTTTTTTTTTTTTTTTTTTAATTATCGGTCAGTGATTCAATACAATTATTTCAGTAAGGCAACCATTATCCCTCTAATATTTGTATTTTATTTAAAACAACAAAAATGTTGAAATAGTTTTAGAAAACTGTGAGAGGCTATTGGAAAATGATTTCAATAAAAAAATGACTTAAAGAAATTGTTCACTTTTATATTTATAAGACCCTTATTCATTCTGGTGTCGTTTAAAGCCCTTTGAACAGTTTGCACTGAAACTCTCATTTGGACCTTGAACCGTTTGGTTCCCATTGAAGTCCATTATATGGAGAAAATCCTGGAATGTTTAGCAAAAAAAAAAAAAAAACTTAATTTCTTTTCGAATTAAGAAAGAAAGACGTGGACATCTTGGATGACATGGGGGTGAATAAATTTTCAGCAAAAGTTTTTTTTTTTTTTTTTAAAGTGAACTGCTCCTTTAATACATCCTACAATTGAGTACAATCTTTGAATAAAATATTTAACCACACGGCAAACTTACTTTTTCTCAAGAATCCATCTCATTACAGCCGTGACCTCGGGTGTATCATCTAAAGTCTTGCTGGAGGGCTTATCCTGGTCTGGGAAACTCTTGTCAAGGTCATAATGTCTTGCGTTCTCGCGGCCTTCGGCACTTCCAGTGCAGTCTCCCTCCGACGCGCGCTCAAATCCGTCAGGATTCATGCTGGCCAGTATATAGATGTCCGTTCGGTTCACCAGCTCCGTCACTCTCACATCACGGCCATACTGAGTCAACAGGTACTCAATCAGATACATTAACACCTGCCTTGATAAAGCCTCGTCTCCGTGGATGTTTCCAACATACTTGAACCTGGGTTTGCCCGGTTCGTCCGTACTCGGATTCGTTGTTATTCTCATGACCCAAAGCTCCCTTCCCTCGACGGACTGTCCGATGCTCGCGAGGCGGCAGATATGCGAGTATTTGAGAGAAAAACTCTGAAGACGGTCGGTCATGGCAGCATAGTTGTAATATCCCCAGTATGTCTCTTCATTCACATTGTTGGTGTGTCTCAAACCAAGTGTTTGGTGTGGAACTATTAAAATGTGCGGCAAAATGAGCCACAAAATATGCATTGCGCCGCGTTTGTAGTGGTTTGCGAACATTTTACATTTAAAAATAACCCTTTGTTTGCCGTTTTATTGTCAGTTTTTTTGTTGCGCCATTACAAAATTGGTCTTCGTTTGGTCTGCAAGTTAAACCCTTAGAATCAAAATTAGGGACACTAATAGATTCCACTTGGCTTAATCAGTAATTGGTTTGCACAGGGCCAAACTAAAACGATGGATTAAACCACTGCCGTTTAAAGGGTAAATTAGGCCTAGTTGGCAAAAGTTCGTGACATTTTCGACCATTAAATTAATTGTTTTAATGAAAAGTGTATTTTAGGTGCTGTATTTAGTCATAATGATTTTAATGAGTTTATTCACCTTTTAGCTTTTATTTGCAGTTACCTTGCATAATAAAGCGAGAAGTTCAAAATTGCAATCATGTTTATGGCACTTTATGAGGGGAAAGCCATTTGTAGTGGTGTTAGAAACCACGAGTGTATAACTGAATACCCATACACTGAGGGTCGCGACTCGCGATGAATGAACTCTTGGGCAGCGTCTGAATCACATCCTCTCTTGAGTACTTGATTAAGTGATTCACGACGGCTAAAAAAAGAAGGTATATTTTATACCATGAGTGTGAATAATTTCAATTCAATTCAGAAAGCTTTATTGGCATGACAAAAAATACATTTTGTATTGCCAAAGCGTCAAAACAACATAGAAAATGATTTGGAACATTTAGTACACAAAATATTGAAACTGATATCATAAAACAATAATAATAAAATGAACAGATTAATAAATAAAATAAAATGGATTTAGAAATCATATATATATATATATATATATATATATATATATATATATATATATACATAAAAAAGAAAAATATTGGACATTATATACATGTGTGTAGGTCTTAGGCTGTGAGAGAGTGTGTGTTTAGTGTATGTTGCTGTTCGCTTGAATAATCTGGACGTACATCGCCATGTTGCTCTTATCACGTGACCTACGAGCGTCAGTTGCGTCGCTTCACCGCCATTCTCAAATCCTCTCCCGTGGCCTCATAAAGTTTTCATCATTTGCACACCTCAGAATCTTCCTGGAAGAAGTTGGTCATCCGAGTTCTTTTTGGCTACTCCTTCATGAGTAGGCCTACTGTTAATTCAGACATACTGCTTTTGTCACATACTGCCATTTCAGAAGATACCCCGCCCGGTCTCGAAAAAAGATGGCGTCCGCTCGCTTCTGCATCATCCATCCATCCAGTTTCCAAAACCACTGGTCTGATGTGTGTGCAGTGTAATATCATATACAGGTATAATAAATTCCCTTTTAATTGATTATTAAATTGTTTAAATAATTTTTCTTGTTTCTATGACAACACAAATATTTTCATTAGGCTACTGGAGCTGCTTGCTATGTTTCAAGTTATTATTAAACGGAAGGCACAAACTATACAAAAGCTGCATGGAAGCTTGTTTCCGTCACTTAATGAAAAATAAAAAAGGTAATTGCGACTTTTTATCTCACAACTCTTGACTTTTTTTCTCACAATTGCGAGTTTACATCAGAATTGCAAGATATAAAATCAGAATTGTGAGATATAAAGTCAGAATTGATTGATATAAAGTTGCAATTGCATGTTATTAAGTCAGAATTGCGAGATATAAAGTCAGAATTGTCAGATAAACTATTCTGAGGAGAAAAGTTAGTCTTTTTCTCCCCTTAATAGAATTGGCCTTATAACAAGATGTCAGAATTTCGAGATATAAACTCGCAATTATGTGTTATAAAGTCAGAATTGCGAGATGTAAACTCACAATTGTGAGGAAAAAAGTCAGAATTGTGCGATAAAAAGTCTCAGTTCTCTTTTTTTTTCAGAGTTGTGACATTATTTCTTAGAATTGCTACTTTATATATCGCAATTGCATCTTTATTTCTCACAATTCTGACGTCATGAGATATAAAGTCGCAAATTATTATAATTATTTTAATTCAGTTGCGGAAACAAGCTTCTATAAGATCATACCGCTGGAGCAGCGAAAGAGAGAAAGAGAAAGAGAGTCTCTCAATTGCATGTAATATGAAGTCATAAAAATCGTATGTTTAAAATCTGAAAACTTAGTTCAAAATAGTTTTAAATGGAGAGCACCATGTCACCCTCTAGGATGCTGTTTAAAATGGCATTTAAACACCTAGTGCTGTCGGTTTTATGAAACTTTTGCCCCCGATATATGATGATCTTCTTCCAAAGACCCACTTCCTAAAATATAAATGCAGCTATTTAATTTTACATTAAATTGCAAATGTAAAGAGTAACATTTTATAAATATATTACAATATAATTAAATGTTTTCCAAATATTTAATTATTTGTTTTTTATATGATAACCGCACGAAACTAAGAGAAATGTATATGCTGCACTGTATAGGTTAGGTTAAGATTCAATTTTTTGCTGTTAAAATATGGCTCATAATTTCAGATCATTATTTCTATGGACCCTCTAGTTCCCTCTTGTGGTCACTGGGGGTCTCCACCCTAATACAGCTGCATTTTAGAGATATTTTTTTTACCCAATAATGTTGAAAAATTAAACATAAAAACTCCAATTTTTGTTGTGTTTGTTACATTTGTAATGTCTAACATTATCACCTATCCACTTTACTCACCGTAATTTAATTTAATTTAATTTTGTATGTGTCAGTATCCAAAAGGTAATTTAGTTTAGTGGATTACAATTTTGAAAACACAAATACTTCTACACATAATTGAATTAGAGGTCTTGCTATGTTGATATAGATAGAACAAAAGGCTGTCCTTGTAAATTCTTCTGACACCTTGTATCTTTTCACTTCATTTAATTTTAGACAATTCATTCCACCTTCTCATTTTACGCTCACGCTGTGAGACTTGAATCTGTCAGAGTCCTAATGTTCATGTAAGGTCAGGAAAGATCCACACACTACAGTCAGCTGATATCAAGTATTCTGTTTTTGTGTTTCCTCAAATTGTATACTCATGTTCTTTATTCATCAAAAATCGTACAGATGTTGACCATGAAAACTGCAATGGCTACGATCATGATGATCAAGTCATGACGAAAGTAGAGCAACGCTCCCAGCTTCACACCACGTCCGTCCGGCTGGAATCATACAGGACTTTTTCTTCTGCGGGTTTTATCTCGTCGTTCCTGCCGTCAATAGTTTGTCTTTCTTTCCTCGTGTAGTGGGTAAAAAAAGTGCTGTGGACTTGTTACATTGGTGTAACACCAGTGTACCAGCCAGCCGTCGTGGTCAACAAACCGTCTTGCATGGCTGGAAAACGGAGGGATGGAGGAAGTGGAGGATTTAAGGGCTCAGGAGGAAGAAGACGGGAGGGAGAAGAGAGGAAGGACACAGCTGGCTCCTCTCAGTGCTGGATCCTACGGATAGACTGGATCTGAGGGGTCTGAGCGTGGCAGCCGTACTCCCTGTAGTGCCTGTACTCGCCTCCGTGGCAGTCGCACTCCATAATGTACTGGTAACCACGGTAACCAGGATACTGGTAGCATACAAAGCTAGAGAAATAGGAACACAGCATGTTACCATGGAGCACACGAGGTCTCAAACGTCTCCCGAACCGAAGCACTCGCGCTCCTTTCTCACATGCAGATCAAAAAGCCAGAATGCAAGCCACTGTTTGGACCCTAACCAGTTAATCAGACGATCAAAATCCATTGGAGCAATCGTACTCACGCGCCACTCATGACTTGGATGGAGCCGACCTCGTTGTTGCACCATCCCATAGCCTGCAGAGAGGGGTAGTCACCGCACACCTCCCACTGCCTTCCACCCATGTTCTCACACTCGAAAAGCATCATACGGGAATCCTTGTGCATCTGTTTCAGAATGAAGAACAACATTTCGGCTCATGACTTGGAACTTGAATTAAACTGGCAGTGGCCACGTCTCACAGGATGATGAACCAAATTGCAAATGGGAATGGAATTTACTGCAGTGCAATTTAAAGAAATTTCATGCATCACACTGCGGTGTAATACTTAAAATGAACAAGAAATTGCATTCTGGGAAATGTTCTTCCATAACGCTCCGTAAAATGAGTAAGAAAATAAATAATCTTTGGCTTTTCAAACATTTATTGTTAATTTAAAATTATAATTTTTTTTTAATTAATTCAGATTTAGATGTCTAATATTCTTGATTACACCCCTTTTGTGAATGATATTATATATGTAAATTGTAAATAATTAAAATAATAATAAATGTATAAATAAAGATTACTTCAAACATATTTTCATTTTTTTATATAAATATATATGCAAATATTTTGGACTTAATAATTAATTTTTGATTATGCCCCTTACATGTATATAGTCAATTCATATTGAAAAATTTAATGTAATTTGAATTATGCTTACTGGAACATGTGTGCTGCTAGCTCAATTCAAATTCAATTTTTCCTCAATTCAATTCTGAGTGGAGCATATCCTTAATTTTTATTATCAGTATACCTCTCTCATAATGCCTGATTTTGCATTCCTGTCCGAAAATGTACCCCCAAACAAAAACTTTATCCCAAAAATCAGAGGGAAATTATAGGTTATTAACACTGTAAAAAATATTTTCATGATTTGTAATCACAACATTATTTCTTTTGTCAAATCAACCTAAATAATTTATGTAGTTCAGATAACATAATATTTTACATTTCTGATGATTAATTCAGTCACCTTCATTGGATTAACTCAATTTTTCTATTTTTAAGGCAGCCAGGTTACTTCATTTTTTTAAGTTAAGCCAACAATATTTTTTTACAGTGTTGAAGAACCTAATTCTAGTGTTAAGTCTAAACTTGACATAAAAACTGTAAACTTGTCCCTCAAATCTGATTGGTTGATTAGAATGATGTTCCAGGATCAACAAAGATGGTGATCCACTTGGTGAAACCAGGTTTTGCCCTGCTTTTTTTAACGCCATCTATCTACACTCACTTTTCAGAGACAGTGATGATCGGAAAGTCTACTGGTGGGTGTATGTCGTGTTCTGGTGCAGATGGTCTCACTCACAGCAGAACAGATGGGGCGGAAGGACATCAGCCTCTCGATGCGATAGGCATTGCTTCCACTCCAGGCCTCCCAGCATGGGTAATCTCCCTTCTCCAGGATGAACTGCTGGCCATTGAAGGTAGAGTGCTCAAAACCTATCCAGCTAGAGTCACAAGAGGCAATTAGGACAAGGGTTGGAGAGAGGAAGAGAGATTTACTTTGGTAATCATAGAAGTGTGCTTTTACTCACGCGCCACACTCCACTTTCAGGGAGCGGACGGTCTCCATGCCGAACTCCATGATGTTCTGGCAGCAAGCGGTGAACTCGCAACGCCTGCCCTGGAAATGCTCCTGGTCATAAACGGTAATCTGGGAAAGAAAGAAACAGTATCTTTCGTTTAGCATGATTTAATTAATGGGATAGTTCACCTAAAAATGAAATCACTTACTCTCCCTCAGGTTGTTCTAAACCTGTGTTCATTTCTTCTGTTGAACACAAAAAAAAAAAAAAAAAATATATATATATATATATATATATATATAATTTTTTTTTTTATTGAAGAAACAAAAATATTTTAAAGAATACTACACTGTAAAACAAATATTTTCAAGATTTGTTATCACAACATATTTTCTTTTGTCAAATCAACTTTATAATAATTTATTTAGTTGAGATAACTTATTATTTTGAGTTTCTGATGATTAAATTAATCTCCTTCATTGTATTAACTCACTTTTTCCAGTTCAATCAACTTAAAATTTTAAGGCAACCCAGGTTACTTACTTTTTTAAGTTAAACCAACAATATTTTTTTTACAGTGTTAGTAATCACAACATTTTTTCTTTTGTCTAATCAACTTAAATAATTAATTTAGTTCAGATAACATATAATTTTGAGTTTCTGATGATTAAATCATTCTCCTTCATTTTATTAACTCACTTTTTCCAGTTCAATGAACTTAAAATTTTAAGGCAACAAGGTTACTTACTTTTTTGAGTTAAACCATCAATATTTTTTTTACAGTGTATAGTAATCAAACAGTTGATGGACCCTATTGACATCCGTAGTGGGAAAAAAATACTATGGAAGTCAATGGCTACCATCAAGTCTGGCTACCAACACTCTTTAAATTATCTTTTCTTTAAATTATCTCTGAACTTCTTTTGTGTTCAACAGAAGAATGAAACTCATTGAGGTTTGGAAAAAACATGAGGAAAATTAAAATTAATTAATTAGAAAAATAAAATAAATCACTATATGCCTACCTTCCATGGTCCCATGGGCATTGACATAGGGTTGGTCAGAGCCATTGTTTCAGATATATCAGCGCTGACTGACCTGCATGCAAAGAAACAGACAGTCATGTCAGAAGTTCACAACACTGCTGAACAAAAAATAATCCTGTAAAAAAACGGTGAACTACCGTAAAAATACGGTGTGTTACTGTTTTTGAAATTAACAGCTAAATACCGTATGGACAGCTACAGTATTAAACTTTAATTTAACAGCTATATGCTCTAACACAAAAACAGTAACACACCGAATAGTTACGGTATGATGTTGGCAACCACAGCTGCCAGTAGTTTACCGCTTTTTTACAGGATTTTTTTTTAACAAAAAAAAGCAAAAATAAGTTGTTTTTCCCCCCAAATGGCCAGAGCATTTTTTCAATTGTTTTCATTATTGAGGAGCTGAACCCTTGGCATTTTCCCCCCGGACGCCAAGAATTGAAAAATGTTCAACTTTGGTTAAAACGCTCATCACTGTCACTTTTCAATCAGCTGTCCAATCACAGTGGAGGATGGGCGGGATAAAAAACCCACACATTGATAACAACATCTGTTCATCCAAAACAAATGGCGGTCAGAACAAGTCAAAAACAACAAAAAGGACAAGTGCTTGTTATAAATAATGACATGTATGACAAGCCTGAACACTGTTGTATCAATTAAACCGAGTGGCTTATATTACTCAGGTCTGCTAATTAAAACCTCCCCTATCTTAATTATAATTTAGCATATCTGATTGTATCAGTGGATCATTGTTTGATAAGTCTGCCTAATTAATGCTCACTATGGTGTTCCAAGCTGGTTTAATCACTATCCGGTTTCGAGTTGGCATAGGTACGGGGTTTACCAGACTTACCCAACAGAATGAGCTGTGTGCGTTGAGGGAATCCAGCACGCGGTCTCCTGCTCAGGCATCTGTGGGGCTATTTATACAGACGCCGCTTCAATGGGGCTCCCTGATTCACACACCCCGGCTGCGGTCAGCACTTTGCTTTGGATGCCTTTTGTTTCTGTCCTGAACCTTTCTTTCCTCCGCACACTCTTCACAATGAAGGGATCTCCACCAATGAGGGGCCATGCAACTCTCATGTCACTCTACCTGGTGATCACTTCACTTTTACACTGCTTGAGGAGGCAATGCATGCTAATATATCATTTTAGGTCAAGTGAATTAACTATAAGGTTATGTGATATGGTATATTATGTTATATATACATTTGCAGGACAATAGGTCATAATTACATTAGAAACTTTTGCAAATGATTTCTCAAAGTTGCATTTTAGGAATGAGGAAAACTGTGTTTTAATGTCGCCAATTGAAGTATTTTATTTTTTAGTTGAACTGTTCGCTTTTTACAGTGTATTTGCACGGACTCTATAAGGAAAATATTATATTCAAATTTGTGCAACATAAAAGGTTTGAATTTGGTGATGCCTGAACACAATAATGATTATTTATATATTTACAGTGTTTAGTCTCCAGTTTATCTGAGCGCAAACCTTAAGCCATAGTTTACAAAAGGCCCACATGTTTTTTTGGGACTTGGAGAATGTATTATGAGGCAAATTAGGGAGACGATGTCTGAGAAATGCAATGAGTAACACAGATGAGTTTCTGTCCTATAAATAGCAAAACATGACATTTAAAATGCTAATATGAATCAGTGTGTTTTCCAAAGTGATGAAGTGGATACTGCTTGACTTTAAATCTAGACAAAACACCATTACGTTTTTTTTTTTTTTCTTTTCATTCCCCAACAATGCCATTGAAGAAATATTTTAGAACATTATGAGGAACATTTTAATAATCCAAAGAGCAGATTTGGGGAAATTTTGGGAATTAACCGTAAAATGGTCTCTGAGACATTTTTTGATTGCGGACCATTTCCACTTCGATCTTTTTCCACTTAAAAAAAAACAAAAAAAAAACTTTTGTACAATGGATGTTAAAGGTTCTTTATGAGACCATTGCAGTTTTTATATTCAAATGTCTAAAAACTATTGTTGCTTTGCAACTTGTATGAAAAGGAGAGAGAGGAAAAAACTGAAGAGTTCAGATGCAAAAGCCTCTAAATGCCATTTGAAATTTTCTTCTTTAATGATGATCTTTATCAAACTTATATATAAAAGTTCAGTAATTTCACTTAAATAACAATTAATAGGTAATTATCATTGACATTTTTAAGTGAAATCACTGAATTTAAATATACAAGCTTGATAAAAATGATCATTCTAGAAGAAAATTTCAAATGGCATTTAGAGGCTTTTGCATCTGAACTCTTCAACTATAAACCGGTGGACTGTGTTTACATTGATAGATGAATAAGTAGATTTAAACATTTCAGTCTATGAGATTTGAAATGAATTAAACAGCTTCAGCATTCATTGTAAAAATGACTGAAAAATTATGTAGAATTTACTTAGAAACCATTTTCATTTAGAAATGTCTAGTAGGCTACTATTCACAAATGAATTAAATTAAACTAATTTTGAAGTAGAGAAACTGAAAGTGTATTTGCTAAACTCACAACCTCAACTCATGACAATGGCAGCACACAGACCATAGTCAGCACATTGTTTAGCCCACAAAATGTCCAGAGTGGAGGTGTGTGTGTGTGCGTGTGTGTTTCAGATATAGTTCGGATTGTGTGTGAAAATGTCTGCATGTGTGTGTCTGTGTGTGTGTATTTCTGCTGATGAGGGCAGCCACACCACGATGACAAAGAGACGAGCCAGCTCAGCAGGCCTGGGAAATGAAATGAGTGTGTTCACTTCTACTCTCTCGGTTATATTATTAATTAACTCGCCTCCGTATCAACATTATTGTAACAAACATGCTACTGATGATATATATTAATGCCTTTTGTTTTTCTTTCTGTTTTTTAAGTTATAGCGTTTTGTTTCTGTCTTAGTTTTGTAGCACAACAATGATAGCTGTAATATAACAGGCTATACCAATAATCACAATATATTTCTTAAAAAGGGAGGTATGCTATTCAAAGTTGGCAGGCTCACATTTAATATGGAGCACATTAGGCTATAAATTGGTGAAACCTTTTCAAGACAACCAAAACCATGAAATTACAAGCACTTGTAGTTTATTTGCTAAATTGCTTAATTTAGTTTTCTTTATGGTGTTTGAGTTAGTGTCTCGTTCACTGGTATAACCTAAATAAAATTTTGATCATCAAGTAGGCTAGTTTGTGAGTCATAGGCCAGTTTTGTTTTGTTGTACTGTCTTGTGGCGTCCTCTTGTGGACTGTGATCATTAACTTCTACAAAGTTCACTTTTAAAAATAAAGTTCATTATCTATGGTTCCACAGAGAGCCTTTAACATAATATAATTTAATTTACTTTTTTTTTTGTGTCTGTTTCAGAACATGTTTTTGCAGTTGAGCATTTACTCAATTGATGATCAAAGACTTCAGACTTCTCCACAAAAAAATATTTTCACAAAAAAGAAAACTTTTCGATTCTAAGATAAACACTTATTCAGTGGCTATCCGTAAATTAGGTTTACAAAACTATCATAAAACCGTCATCGTGACGTGAAAATGAGGATCCTGCCAGACAGGCCTACCATTTATACGCCAAAATAGTTTTTGCGTGCACATAGCTATGTTTTCGCGTGCATATGATACGCAGTACGCACGCACTCCACACCCCTAATCCTTTATCGTTATAATCATTTGACCGCAAAAACTATTTTTGGCGTAGATGGCACGAGAATTAACATTCGTGCTACGCACTTTCAGATCGCGTTGGCCAGTCACAGCGACGTCGCTGTCTGTAACTTGCTTCAGAAAACAGCGTGTGGCGCACTTGAGCGTATTTTCAGACGCAAATCTTATGAGAGCGTAGCACAATTCCAACGTCATTTCGGATTTTTAGGTCCTTGTTATGGGGGTCAGGTAAATTTAGATTAAAAATGAACAAAAAAGCTAATTTACTAATCGCGTTAAAGTTTCATTTTTCTTTAAAACTAAGATGATGAAAAATATTGGATTTACAACCGCTCACATTTTCTGGGGTTTTATTCATTTGATTCGATTTGATTTGTTTATCTGACACAATTCACGAATCAATTTGGGCCCTACCACACAACCAATAGGGAGATACAAAACCGCTATCCGTCGCACTCGGTATGCTAGAATCAGCACAGACTCGAGGACTGATTTTATCCAACATAATATCCCCAGGGATACAATTTGATGCACTCAAAACAGTCATTTAACAAGTCAAATTACTATTATCTGTTGCTGGTGCGCCACTGAACGGCGGTCGACCCCCTCCCGCGTGCAGTGGTACGGCTCAGGCTGTGCGCGAGAGAGATTCGGGGTGAGAGCGGAGAACGGGAGGATTTAAATACCTCTAAGCGGGCGACCTGCTCAGCCCTTCGGGTGTGGGAGGGTGACTGTTTTGTGTCTTTTCTAGACCGGGGGAGCAGGGGGTGGAGGAGGAGGAACGGATAATGAGCTATTCTTGTACCAGCACAGGCAACAGCCAGGACCCATCGAGCTCTAAGAAGTCTGGCGGCGTTAATCCCGGTAGTTGCAGCAGCAGCAGCGGAGACAACCGCCACAGCATCCGCGGCAGACAAGCGAACTCCAACCCTGATTTAACCGAGGCGATGAAAGTCAAGAAGGGCTGCAACACGACAGACGTCGGAGTCCCCGTAACCAGAGAAGAGGAATTGCTCGGGAACAAAACGATCACCCCGGAGGATGTGCTGGGGTTGCAGAAGATCACTGAAAGTAAGTGATCGAGTGGATCGGAACACACTCGGAATATTTCGCCAGACATCGTACATTGTCGGGAAGCTTTTGAATAGGTTGCGCTTTGTGTCAACGCATTGTTTCAGTAGACTTGAGTAATCACACGCAGATCCCCTTGTTTATGAACACTTCACTATGCTGTAATCGCCATATTGTAGCAATTGTGGATCACTGGGTGTCTTTAATAAGACAGAATGATTAAATAACTTGCTTGAGAAAGAGATTGAGGCAAGCATTTGGTTTAATACAAACCAGCAACATATTGGGGTATAAATATTGCGTTGCAGTGCATCAGTGTAGCTCAATATAAAGGCCTTTATAAGGGTTACTGGTGATAATACTGCTGCTGAAATTGAACTTATCAGCGAATGGGTGACTTTGGAAATTGAAATAAAAAAAATGGCATGGGAAATACCATTTCCCAAGGATCAACTATAATTAACCCCCTCTTGCAGTCCTAAGCACGATTAGGTAACAGGTGGCCAATAAGCCCTCCATTACTCTTTTTAAAGGCCCGTGCAATGGCTTATACAACATCCACATCCCATGAACTCTTCATGAAAGGCTACATGTAATTCTAACCTCTTAGAAATGGCTCCTAAAATTTGCATTCTAATCAATCAATTAATTATATTCATGCTCAATTCTAACCAGTTTGACAATTCAAGGACTTCTGAAATTTGCACACCTCAATCTGTTCAGGCCGTTTCCGGCGTCACCTCATTTCCGGGGTCTCATTTTGTCTCAACCTTTCTTTTTCCTGTTCATTTATGCAGTCTTTGCTAAATGAATTGTAGGCTACTTCTACGTACTTTTATTGGTAGCCATTTTTTTCTCAAAGCATCATTTATTCCCCATGTATGAAGGACCTGACTCCGCTATGAACATGCTTGTCAACCAACACCTCTGGATGCTTCCAAGTAGCCTTTTATAATTTATTTAGGAAAGCAATTTTAATTGGTTTAATAATCATTTTGTATTCCAGTAAAGTTTGAAATCGATCGAAGATGATATCAATTAACTGATAATGACCAGATGCTAAATATTTAAAATTAGGCTACTTTTTTCAATAATAAAAAAAAAATCAAGGAATTTAAGCAAAAATCAGATTTTTACTTGCCCGTCAATATTTTTGCCATGCAAAATGATAAATTATATGTTTAGTTACTAGTGCTGTCATTAGAGTCGCATTTATTTATATACTGTATATATATGAATAAACTCATGCCCAAAAATTTGATCATACCATCCTGATAACCATACAGTGGTAAAGTGAGAGATGTAAATAAGCACGGTCTGGGCTTTGTTTTTCCACTTTTGTGGAAAGTTTGTAACGTGCCCTATAAATCCAGTACATGTTTGTTTCTAGTCACTCAAACATGTTTATTTGCTCAGAGCAGTTACATCATTTCACCTGTTTGCAGAATTTGACTTCATGAGCCTGTTGGGCCTCTCTGAACATCTGAAAAATGCTGCCCACTCAAAGCAACAATCCTGTGCTTTTTCTCACAGAACACAAGTCATATTTTTCTTTCGATAGATTGCTCTGACTCATCAAGCAATTCAAACCTCAGCTTTGATTACTAGAGTTTTAGTGCACAAAAATCTTGTCCTCATTTTGATCAGTCAACATGCAGAATGTTATTGTTCACTCATGCTTAAAGACATTTTTTTAGATATGAAAAATTACTCTAATATAATTTATATTAATGGTATATAGATCTTCTGAGAGCAATTGACAGAGGGTAGAAAAACATGTGTTGGCACCTTATTCTCAGACTGGCCAATATTAGCACCTTCAGTTAATGCATTGCTTGCTTGATAATTGTCGAGGCATATAGAGATTAGCTTACCATGGAAACCATGAAGGTGGAACAGGAGACCCTTATCATCACCTCATTAAGAGCAAGTGTCCTGGAGAAAGCAGTTGTATATGTAGAAATGTTTTCAGAGGCACAGATCTAATATAAGAGTAATATTCAAAATGATTAAAATATATTTCTTTCCATGTTGCAGTTATCATATTTATAATATAGGCTAGATCTCGAAACATTTTCCTAAAGTTTAGTTCCTAGCCAGTCTAAATTCATCAGGTTCAAACTTTAGATACATTTACATTTAGCTTACACTTTTATCCAAAGAGACTTACAATTGCTATATATGTCAGAGGTCGCACGCCTCTGGAGCAACTAGGGGTTAAGTGTCTTGCTCAGGGACACATTGGTGTCACACAGTGGATTCGAACCCGGGTCTCTCACACCAAAGGCATGTGTCTTATCCACTGCGTCATCACCACCCCATAATTATTAGATTATTCCACCACCTGTTATATGTGTATTTGCTTTAACACCTGGCCTTCTATGATCCATTTGTATTTGATGATGCTTTTGTCTTCGGTTGGAATTATGTCATCTCCAGAATTGCCTTATATTGAGCAACATTCACTCTTAGAAGAAAAGGTTCTATATAGAACCTTAAAAGGTTCTATTACCGCTACGTATTTGGAACCCCTAAAAGGTTCTATACACTCTTAAAAAAAGGGTTCCTCTGGGTTCTATATAGAACCCTGGGGTTCCATACTTGGCCAATAGAACCTTTTACAAAAAAAAAATGGAACCATTTTGGAGTTCCATATATGAAGCGGGGGATGGAACCATTTGTGGTTCTAAATAGAACCATTTCTTCTAAGAGTGTTTCCTGTCACTGCAGAGGATTTGACAGCACCAGGAAAGGGAAGTATTTGAAGGTCACAGGATGTTCGATGAGCTCATTGTTTTAAAAAATAGTAAATGTCATTCCTGAGCATGACTGTCTCAAATTTACAATATGTCGGTATCAGGCCAATAACTTGCTTCTTGTTACTTACTTTTAGGCCATTAAAGGGTTAGTTCACCCATAAATGAAAATTCTGTCAGTAATTACTCACCCTCATGTTGTTCAACCCCGTAAGAATTTTGTTCATCTTTGGAACACAAATGAAGATATTTTTATCAGTGGCTGCTGTTGTTTCGGTTGATGCTCGGTGACTGAAGTCCGTTGCTGTTCATAGAACAAGCTTTTCCATTCCAATGCTCTACTTTTCCATTGTTTTTCTATGTAAACAAGCCCTAGAAGGACGTGTGTAACCGAAATCAGACCGAATTCAATGATTGGACAAACATTTTTTATGGTCCTAGGCCTTCCACATATGATATGTATACATATAAATACATTAAGACCACTTAACTTGGTGACTGCTATCAGGATGTGAAGAGACTTTCAATCTGCTGTTAATTATCAGCAACAGGCCATATTTCTTATTGTACATTATAATGTATTTTTCTTAGCTTATTTGAACGACGATTTTAATGTAACAATTGTTGGCCATAATAATTAATTAGTATTATTATTTCATAAAATCAATCCCAGAGCTCTTCAGATTCTTGAAAATCACTAACCCGCATTAGGACCCACACAGTTCACTGGACTCAATATCTTGATTCTTTTCACTTCTCTCCCTTGTTCTTTGTTTTAAACAGACATATATTCTCTAGCTATTTCACTCAGTTTTAGTCGTTAGTCATCTGTAAGAAAGTGTTCTTGGTTATTGAAACTCAAAATAAAATACATGAATTACTATGCACATCTGATGAAAAATAAATCCAAATGAGTGCATTCTACTTTAAGGGTCTTGGTGTTGTAGTACATGGACAAAATCAAGTATTCATTTCCAATTTAAATGTAATATCCTGTTCCTGTTCCAACTCCATGCACACAATTATCAGAAAGTAGCCTAGTTTATACGAACGCTGTACTATAGCAGACCAGCAAATCAGGAAAAAGCTCATTACTCTTCCTAAATTCATCAACTACATTGTTATTTTTTAAAACTGAATTCAGTGCACACAACTTTTTTTTTTTTTTTTTGCAAGCCAGCTTGTTTGACTTAACTGGATGTCTAAGCATACTCTTTCAACAGTTTCTGCACTGTTTACGTCTTGCTTAACTCTCACTCTCAGAAAAAAGGTACAAAAGCTGTCACTGGGGCTGTACCTTTTCAAAAGGTACACTTTTGTACCCAAAGGCTGCATATTGGTGCCTTAGTAGTACATATTAGCACCTGAAATGCACATATTACTAGCACCTGAAATGTACATATTAGCACCTGAAATGTACATATTAGCACCTAAAATGTACATATTAGCACCTGACATGTACATATTAGCACCTAAAATGTACTTATTAGCTCATGAAATGGACAAAAGTTTACCTTTTGAAAAGGTACAGCCCCAGTGACAGCTTTTGTACCTTTTTTAGGTTGGATTTGACCGATTATGTGTGTTTTCAGTTCGATGCCAATTCTGTTCTTAATTCTAAATGTGACCCAGCTTTAGTGTTAATCTATCCAGATTCTATTTCCATTCATTCAGACACTTTATAGCTTTGACTTCTCATGAAAAAAATAAAAACTACTACATTTAGATACTCGAGAATGGTTATTACCCTCTTTTACACACATGTTACTTTACAACACGATTTTTTGTTTACCTAACTGTAAGACTGAACTAGTAGTAGTGAGGTTTTTCTATTGTTTGATGGCATGAAATGAAAATAGTTTAAAAATGCATGTTATTGATTTGATTGTGAATTGTTCAACCGTGCATATGTTTAAGGGTAAACATCTCTGGTGACGTATGCTGGATTTCTCTAATCATTTTGTCTGCTGAAACCATGTCCCTTTCTTATCACCTTTTTTTTCCTTTTTGATTTACACCAATAATGGATGAAAAGTTTTAAATGATTTTAAATGTTAAAAACACTGTCCCCAGTTCTGCAACCAGCTTGTTTTGAGCCATAAATGCCATGAGATTATTAGTAGTCACACACATTTAGGATTTATTACCAACCCTCTCCCATTTGTTTTGTTAGTTTTGACTTTAAAAAAACAGGTGCGAGTGGACTGCATCCCTTGTCCCTTTGGTTCTCTCCACTGTCTGCTC